GTAGTATAATCGAACTAAAGTTAATTATTTTTTTTTTTTTTACGTTTTCTACAACTTTAAGCTTTGTAATGCTATTCAGTAGTAAATATGAATACAATTTGGAATAATTAAATAGTAAAATCCGAAAAATAACAAAAATGGATGCATGTAAAAATTAAATTAGGTGTAAATTCTTTACATGCATATTTAGGGATGGACTAGTATTTTTTATCACCAGTGAGACACGTAGTGAGGGTTTCATAAATACTGAAATGTTAGGAAATGTAATGCATTGGAACTACTAAACACTAAAATGTAATGAAATGGAGTTATTTTACACCAAAATGGAATTAATTGGAAAAATGAGATGTAATTTATTTACAATGGGATAAAAAAATTTTTAATAAATAAGGAAAAGGCAGGTTACATAAGAACACAAACACAGGTCTCCTAAACACACAAATGTAAGGGAATTGTACTACTAAATGCCAAAGTATAACCAAATGAACAAGAAAATGAAAACTGAAATGCAATCGACTTAGAATGGGATGAAGTTATTTTTAAGAAATTAGGATGTTACACTGAGGAATCAAAATACCAACATAAATCTCATGGTATCTTAAACCCTAAAAGGCATAATTTTTAACTTGCTTAAATAAATTACATTCTTCTTGGTGCAATATTCATTATCATTGGAAGAACATGGCATGTATTTCTTTTATTTCTTTATTCATTGACACTTACATCCATTTTAGTGGCATAATTTATTCATGAAAATATTCAATAATGTTTTAGTTAATAGTTATCAATTCCAACTTGTTACACTGCAGTGTTTATTATTTACATTTCATTACATTTTGGGGTTTAGTAGAACCCTCACTTAACCAATTTGTTTAGCTAAGTTGAACTGGATGAAGGTAGTTTGCAGTTACAGGTGTTTATATAATTATAGTTTTTTGATAACTGTTAATTTTTACTTAAGCTGTATTATTATATCTCAGTTTTAGCATTTGGGATTAACTCATTTGGAACTTTCACTATTAACTGGCTATTTTTTTTTTGCATATACTTTTCTAATAAATATCTAAAATAACTGCACACCACATCCTAGGAAAAACATTTCATAACTTTATAATACTAACTAAAGCTAGATAATTAGTAGAATTTGATAATCAGTTGATTGTTAGGCTCATTAACTGATAACATTGAACTAATTGATTATTCGCAGGAGATTGATAATTGGAATAATCAAAAATAGTAATAATCATAAACACTACTTTTGATTAGTTGACTTATTCATGAGTCATGCTACTAATTGATTAAGTCGGAAAACCTTGAATTAATCAGAAATATTAATGAAAAATCATAATGGCAGTATTTTGATAGGGTTGTTTTAAAAATAAAAAGTTAACTTTTTAAATTTTTGGTCCTGATGAGATATATCTGAAATTGTATTGAAAAGACAAAAAAGAAATAATACAGTGGGGAAATTTCCTGATTACCCAAAGAACTTGCTACATTTTCTTTGAGTTATGGCGATCTACTTTGTCTGAAAGCTGTTGCTTAGAAGTTAATTACAAAGATTCCTATGGCTGAAAAGGAAGAGAATGGTAATAATAAGTGTTATTTTATGTCTAACTTGTGAAATTCTTTGGAAAGCTATCTCAATTTGCTTATGATGTTATGTTCTTTTGAATACTTTGTACTTACCACGAGTCCCTGTTGCTCTTTTGATTCAGAAAAATTCTTAGACATAGTGAGTTGTTAAGAATGTGAAATAAGTGTCTTTGTTGAAAAAAAAGAAAAATTAATGTACTAAGATTATAGACATTTATAAATTATTGTAAGGAAAATGTTATTTTTAGAAAGAGGACAAAAGATCTTGGTGTAGCAAAAGGCTTGAGGACTTCGTCTGTATGGTATAAAGCTATGTAGGTTCTGGGATCTGCATTTCCCCAAGAATAGTATTAACAATGACAACATACTGAAACAGTTTCCTTGTGTTTCTCCTGAAGTGCAAAGGAACTATAATTGTTTAAGATGATCAAAACAATTATAAGCTTTGATATTTGAATATGTATGAAGGTTCATAATTGTGGCTTGAATATTAAGGGTAATATTAAAAAACTTTGGTCATGTTCTTAGTCAAAATTATGTCTTTCCTAGAATAGTTAAATTAATGATGTGGTTTATGCTGAAATAGTTTTTTTTACATTTTTTGTTACATTGCTATGTAGATACCAAAGATTACATATAGTTATGTTGGTATTTAGTCTTTTGTTTGGCTGACTTCACTTTGCTTGTTTAAGTACTTTTAAACTTGATTAATGTTAGGTGAACTTAATTTGTTTTTGTTTTAATTGTTTATAAGGTATAATAAACTTTCGTATGGTGTGAGGGAATTAGCTCGGAAAATTAAAGACTTGGACCCTAAAGACTCATTTCGTCAAGAAGCTACCTTTCAGTTACTGGAAAAATTGTAAGTTATTCAAACAGGTTTTTAAGTATAGTTAATAAATATTTGATTTTCATACATATTGTTTATATGCATTTTACATGCCAGTCTCCTTGATTTATCAGTATTTTTTTTAAACTACATAATTTATACTTAAGTAAAAAATTATTAATAACCCATTTGTTTCCAAATTTGTAAGTTTTTTTTTTCTTTTATGCACTATTCCTTTGAAAAGTTTTCAAGAAACTTTAGGAACAACAAGGAACAATTTCGATGACGAGGAACTCACTTTGAGACTAATAATGCTAAACTTATAATGTTAAACTTATATTAAAGTTTTTCTTCATCACCCATTTAACCCGTCTCCAAGCATTATTAACAAGGAACAATGTTTTATAGTTTAAAGTCAAGAAATGATAATTCTGCTTGTTTGAGAAAATACTATTATCAAGTGATTTAACTTACTGATATATTTAACAGAATATTAGCACTACACACATATACACAAATAATTATCATTCTCATGCCCAAGTTAAGTTATTGTTTTTCTAATTGAGCTATGGTCTGAAATGATGTACCATCAAACATCTTCTAAACCATCGTTAAATTTTATTTAGATAAAACTATTTATTTTTGCTTCATTTATATTATGTACCACAGTTTCTCATCATTATTTCTTTTGGATTTGAAGTCGTAGATTTTGTGATTTTCCAAAAATTTCATTTGAAAAAGAAAGTAAACAAAAAGTGAGCTTGATGTCAATTATAAAGAATAAGACAGCTGTACTTTGTAATAACATTTATAATCATATACACTTAGTTATCTGTTAGTGGTTGATTGATAAATATAAAAGTGAAGAAAAGTTACATTTAAGTATTCTTACTGACTGGAAGTGGGAGTTGTAGGATTTAGAAAAATTAAATGTAATCACTTTTGTAAGGAAACTTTTTATCACTTTTTCAACCCTTTGGATGCTATAATCAGATTTAACTGATTTCACACATTTATAGCCTTTTAGTGTGACAAGTGGATTTATCCAACAATGTCACAAAAACATTTCCTTTTAGTGCAACAATCAGGTTACTCAAACATCCTTGAATTTCTCACCTTAGTACCGTGAATGCATACATTCCCAAGCAAAAGTGCAACAAGTGGATTTTCATATTGAAAAAGTACTAAAAAGGTCCAATTCTAAGTTTCATTTTTTAGTTGATAACTGACACTTTGAGAACTCACCTTAAATTTAATTATGCACTCAAAGGGTTAATGTTCATTGTGTTTCTTTAACTACCACATTGATCAGACTAATTAATATTAAAAACAGTTTATGCTAACAAAGTAATGAATGATAGTAAGTGTCCACACTTGTTTCTCTTACAACAAAATTCGTGGGTTGGCTGAAGCAAAATTAAAGTCATATATTGAGAAAAAAAGTAACCACAATGTTTAAGAAAATATTTCACAACACAAGTTTTTCGGCCAACTGAGATGTGGCATTTTTTACTTTTTTAAGTGAGAAAGACAGAGGAGTTATTGAAATTGGTGTATGTATATTTTATAAGACATTAAACTTGCTTGATTTTGAGATTGCAGCAGTAATCAACCTGGCATATTAAGAAGTATGCTTTTTATACACTCAATAAAAAGATCTGAAATTGTATGCACATAAGAAGTAAGAAAGTTATATTTTAAAAACATTATTCACATATGAAGAATTGCCCAAAATGCAATATTGAAAGGATGTATGCAATTGGACATGTGCTAACTGGATATGTATAGGTGTATTAAATACAAATAGTAATTTGTGACATGTTGTACTTCAAGAACTGAATTATGAACAAGTTTGTAATTATTCCATGTAAGCGACCAAGGATCGTACACATCTGTTTCCTGGTTTCCCCAGTTTCCTTAGTCTGGATCATTTTTTTCGATCTCAGGGAGGGGGGTGGATAAGCTGGGATGCTACTACAAATTGAGTTCTTCTACTGCCACCTCGTCCAAAGTTCCATTCTCTTCGTGGATGCCTTGCTTCAGAGATGGGATACCTATACCAATAATCAGGAATTCCAGAATATGCACGGATGACGAGGATTCCCTACACAGTGTTTTTGGCCTTCTTGCTCTTCAACAGGTAAGGTCTCATGATCTGGGCTTCTTAAGAGGTGAATTGTCAGACTTCACTCTACTATTCTGCATTGGTGTCTTATGTTTCTCATCAAAGAAATATGTCATCAGTCTGGGTATTTTTTATTTTTCATCTCATCTCTCAGTCTAAGAGACTGACTTATATCAGACTCATCAATATTATTATTATTATTATTGTATTTATTATTGTGGTTATAATAGTTACACACTATTTTCGAATTTTGGACATCCTTTCTCTGGACTAATCTTATCCTTCTAGCTTGTTCCACAGGTGATGCCTGCGGTAGCATGTCATTTGTCTCAATCCAAACAGATTCTCCCGACAGAATAGATGTTGAATTGCATGGTTCAGTTGGATTGCCTCTCATTTTACAGCTAATTGGTGGGTTGGCCTCTCATTGGATCACCCAACTACTGACTATTTGGTCTCCAGTACTTCATCTTTGGGCCTTGGCAATAGATGCTTTCCATCTGGACAGGATGGGATTACCACTCTTAACCTTCTCTCCATTTCTTATGTTATCCAGGGTTCGAAATATGATTTGTTCCAAACCATTGAATCCTGATGATTGCACCAGATTGCTGGCTACACCCAGGTTTCTGCTTCTGTGGTACCTTCCGGTGTGTTCAACTCTTCCATTTCTTTTTAGGCTCTCTCTTTTGAAGCAGCCATGATCAGATCTGGTGCACCCAGCTATCCAGAAAGTTAAGCTTCTGTCATAGAGGTTATAATGTCTTTCACACAGCATTGAGGTTTAATTTCTAAGGTTGACATGTATCTGGCTCAGTTTCTGCTTAGTCTGAAAGTCACTCTTCTCAAAGGTAATGACATTCATATCAGCACTGTTATATTGAGAGTAGGTTGAACTTTTCCCAATCACTTGGCTCTTTGACAGAGGTTTTTGCATCTTCCACAATTGCCATTGTTTACGGTGGCTTTATTGACTACTGTTCGATTATCGCAACTACATACTCTAACAGGTAGATTCAGATTACGTGTTATTTCTCTACACCTGTTTGTGACCCGACTCTTATATGCCATGTATCCCCTTTACCTGCAAGCTTATTTTTTGTGGCTGCTAACCTATAGACATCAGTGGTCAGAGTGATTTGTGCTGTTTTGGTGGTGGACAGAGCATTTTCCTCCAGAGTGTTGAAGTGAAGTCCTTCAGTCTTGTAGAAGAGGGCAAAGTTGGGGACTCTCCTACCCAGTTTTCTGGATGTTTTTTCCCTGATGTTGGTAGTGCAATGCCAGCCTACGTGGGAGCCTACTTGTAATATCAGTTAAAATTTGATGCTCGCTATCCGGTTGGGGTGTGCATGGCCCTTCTTTTTTGTCAATATCAGTTTAGTATAGCAGTATATTGTTCATAGAAGGAGGTCCACTATCTCCTCATAATTCCAAATGTGGAGTGGTCCCATCCTGGGTCCTTGGTTGAGCACAATTGTTCCACATCCTTCCCATAATTCCGAGGGCAAGTGGAAGGCTCCTTGCCCACTTGGTTGGGGAGTGAGGATGAATGTTCATAATTTCAGACCAAATGAGTTCTATTCCTTTGGTTGAATAAGTTATACACGATCCTATCATTTCAAGCCTGGGGTGTTGCTTTTTGGGCTTCTTCAGATGGAGGTGAAGGTTTGTTTACTTAGGTGTTGCTTACCTTCTTGTCATGATTCCGGGAGTTTGGAATGCATTACTCTATGGCTACAGGTTGGGATTCAGTGAAAAGTATATCTTTATATAACATTGTGGTCCAATTGCCATAGCCACCAATGTGGGATATAGAGACCAAGACCCCTTAATTCCAATCCTGAGTAGTGGAACCTCGGCTGTCTGGTTAGAGCTGGCCTGTAGTGAGGATTACTCAAGTACAATTCCACCCTTGATACATGAACTAAGTTCAGGGTGAAGAGCATACCTATTCTGGATGTAGTATGGTTCCAACACTCGGGTACCATTTTTATCTTGGTACACCCATGACCTATGCAGATGCTTTCTGTATGGATAATGCCCTCACCAGCTCCTACACCTTCTCAGTGTGGGATTTTAGCTATAAGTGGCAGCTGAGGTATGTTTTGTAAGTTAACATTTTCGTGGTTTGGAAATTTATTTCCAATAATGCTTACCTACACTGACACTTTTCTGCCCTTCTGTCCCACTAAGAGCTGGTGTAAGAGACTGCGATAGTATCAGTCTCGAAAAAGTTATAAAATTATCTGAATGAGGTGCTTATATATAGTACAAAGATAGAGGGCGCATTGACATAGGTGGAAAGTATCATGAGACAAATGTCACCAAGGGCAACTGAGTGAGATATAAAAGACTGGAGCAAGTGAGAAAAAGTCAGACTAATGCTTAGATGGGCAAAGAAGAAGAAGCCCTGGTGCTTGAATAATAGCTATAAGTGTCAGTGGAGGTATTATTGGAAATACATTTTCAATTTAGGAAAGATGTTAACTTACTTGTATATGGTGTATAACCTGTATAAAACCAAGAATAATATAATCTGCTTATTGATATATTGTAACCTTTGAAGTTTTATATTGTGATTGCATCATATGAAAATTACTATTTTTACTGGTATGTTAGGCCTATTTTATTGTATGTAATTGAACCAACATTTTCATTTTTATTTTACTTGTTAATTTTTAGCCGTGGCCTACTGGCTCACAGAATGGCTCCGAGGTTTTTTTTTTCAAGTACAAGCTTTTAGTTCATAACTTCATAATTTCTTGACCGATTTGAGATATAATTACAGTTTTGGTCTCAGGATTGTCAAACGCTTTCAACTGATGTATTTGACCATGCTCAAGGTCTCATAGATTAATTTATTCTAATCCTGTCTAACAGAATTTCAACTTGAGGGTAGGCTGGTAGA